AACCACCTACCAAGCGTGGCAACTTCTGGCAAAACTCCCATTATGGGAAAAGCTTATGTCCAATAGTGGACATCGTCTAGTTGCAATTTTCAATCAATTACAAAAGAAGGAAATTCTCAATTCTGTTATTTTTTCTTCAATTTGGAAAATTCTTTTTTTACCTGAAAGAATATACTTACAGATTGGTCTCATAGAAATTTTACTAAAATCAGACCAGTAGTTTAAATTTTAAATAAAAATAACTGATTTTGACACAATTCAACTCGGTTTTTTTGTTGTGAAATATAATTTTAAATTATTACTATCACGTGATTAAATGGGTACTTTATTAAACTGTCGTTTTTGTTTGAATAGCGAAATACTGGTTGTCTAAATAAATAAAAAGTAAATCTATCCACTTGTAGACATATAATTCCCAATTCTAAATTAAAATATTTTCCATATAATATTTTTTTTATATAACTGATTAATTTAGAATTGAATAAATTAATATTTTTCTCTTATTTTATTAATTTGTTCATTAGAGTGACCAATAATCTACTATTACTTTGGATATAGCATTTATTACTCGAGAATACAGATCGCAAATTTTATATATTTTATTCAAAAAATATATTAGGAATTAAATACAATTTCAGGTAACCATAATTGACGTCTTAATAAAATTCGAAATAAAAATGAAATAATACAGAATAATAATAAAATTAACAGCAACGAAATAATAATTGAAACAATCGACGCGTCAACGCGCTCAATTCGGAGGACCTTTTCTCCGCCAAATTGCACTTTTTTTTTTTATCAAATTTCTAATGTAATTACATTATCATTATAATATGAGAAATGATTCATAAGAGAGTATTACAACACGCAACTATCGTTAAGAAATTCTTTTGCAGATAAAACTAAAAAAAAAAATATGTATAGCAAATTGCTTTCTCTAAAAATTTACATTGGTACTTAATAGAATGTGGCATTGTTTAGATATAAAATTTATGTTATAATATAATATAATGCTTTAAATATAAACATCATCAATTCTAAATCGTTTCCCATGATTATTTTTTATAATTGTTTTTGTAATCAATAGGATTTGAATTCGTATTGGTCCCATATTAATTTTGAGTAATTTCTTTTTGTAGACAGGTGATTTCACATTCTAAATTGTAAGCAATATGTCTACAACATGTCGTTTTTTTATTGTCTAATTGTGTTGACGATTGAAACAGTTTTTTGCGAAGCAAACTATAGATACTTGTTGTATAAAATGCTTAATTTTGTTTTAATAGGAGGACGTTTTTAACTTGATTAGATTAGATTTTAAGTTAGAATTATATCCATAATTTCTTCTTATATTTTATTTATTACATAGATTAACTAACAACATACATGTACACAACATAACTATCGTACACGGATGCAATATTAACTTAATTATATAATATTAACTTATTAATATTTACATACGTTAATTATAGGTTATTCATAGTAAAAAACACCTTAAAGTAATCCAATACCATGAAAGAAATAACATTCATAAATAAATATGTACTCGATACTCACAGCCTATTTGCATTTGGTAGTCTTTTAAAAATTATACTATATCTATGGTCATCGGGGTGTGTAAAATGGCGGGAATCCGATAATATCGATCGCGCGAGCTCGAACGTGACAATGAAAGTGAGAAGGCGGGAAAGATGAGCTGTCAAACGGTGCGGTCACGTTCCGTTTAGCAATACACTCTCGGTTTCATTTCTGCTTGTTGTTTATGGTTTCGTGACAATATGGCGTCACGCGATAATATTTGGCAGATCACGAGTTATAATAATAATAATAATAATTCTTTATTTGGAACAAAAACAGTGGTTACAATATTATTGAAAAACGATGATATCCGCAGAAGTATAAAACTGTGTTGCGAATATCAACGCCCTCCTCCTCATTGCAGGATTCCAAAACAGACATTTATGGTAGCTAGATACATCAATGAAGACATTTTGTTATATTTAGCAACCAACTACAATACTAATAAACTACAATAATTAAAAACAATATATATAATTTAAATACAGTATACAGTAGCCTACATGTTAACTTAAAAACAAAAAAAAAAAAAACAAAAAAAAAGTGTGTGTGCGTAAATGTGTGTGTGTGTGTTTGTGTGTGCGTGTGTGTGTGTGTGTGTGTGAACGTGTGTATGAGTGTGTGTGTATGAATTTGTGTATCTATGCAGGTGTGAAAAAAATTGTAAATTCATTCGGAAAATTTAATAAGATCTTCTGTATCATCATAAGATAAGGATTGGAGAAATTTTAAACATTTATCTTTGCATTTATGGTAAGGTAAAGGATATATATCTAATTCTTTGTTTAATCTATTATATAGAGAGGAACTTATATGGTGATAATGTCGGCTCGCTATATCAGTGCGTCGAGGTTCAATTTTACAAATTTTATAAGATTTACGCTTCGAATTTATCAGGTTTACTTCATACGGTATTTCAGAATGCTTACGTAGCATAGTATTTAAAATAAATAGTTGTCGAACAGTTAAAACCCGACAGAGCACATACAGTTCCATAGTAGGGAATAAAACTGGTTTTTTAGCCAAAACTTTCAAAACAGCTCTTTGAGCCCGTTCAAGCTTCAGCAATACTGTTTTAACAGCTCCACCCCAGGAGGTTATACAGTATGTTATTATAGACTGTGCGAGTGCATAATAGACAGTTTTTAAGGTGTTGAAATCCATGACACCTCTTAATCTCTTAAAAACAAACATCAACCTTCTTACGCGGGAGACGGTACAATCAACATGTTGCCTCCACGTCATCGAACCGTCCAATGTTACCCCAAGATATTTTATACTTGTAACACGTTCCACGGATATACAATTGCAGGGATTAAGAATTGTTGAAGTTGGACAAAGATGTGGACGAATCGAAAATGCGGAGGAAGGCCGAGAGATACTATTTATAGAGAAGGGGATAAATTTTCATTTTTCAGTTCACCAGTCATATTATTTATTATTCTACTATAAGGTCTGACTTTCGTGAAATTATCATTACGTCATATCACCAACATAATTCTGTATTCTTTTTTAATACATTTTAATTAGGCTAGGACGATAAGATTTTGTTCTGCGAGATTACTAAAATTATCAATGATTTTATTATTCTAATCACGAAACGAACTATTCATCATCAGTTCTTAATTCGAAATATTTCGCAAATACTTTAGATTTACAAGTACATTTTGCGATGCATAAAAATCATCAAATTCATTTGTATTTTGTCTAAAGGATTCAATTAATTGACGAGGGAAGGGTAGCAGCGTCCCCCTTAAAACATCACCAAAGCTTATCTGCGGTTGCCAACTCGCCTGCTAAGCGTGGAGACTACTGGCGAAAGCCCTCTTATGGGGCAGACCTATGTTCAGCAAAGGACTGTTAACGGCTGATATGATGATGATGATACTTACGTAAAATACTATGCAAAAGAATTGTAAATAAATTTAAAACCCCGTTTCTTTCTAAATACCTAATTACCTATATAATTAACGAAAGAAATATTACAACATAGCAATTTGTGACTATAATTCTGAGTCATTTAATTTATACAGATTACCGTTAATTTCGTGCTTTGAAACACAATGCAACATTTAAGTGCGTTTCGTTCCACGAAGAAAACGAATAAATAAAACAATCTAATTTAGGCGAATTGACCCGCTTTTAGGCTTCGAAATTTAAATCGGCGCCCTATCAAAATCGCATTTGTCACGTTGTTTACGCAACTGTCCAATAACGTGAAACTATTAACCTTATCCAATGTCATTAGTAAAGAAAGCAGACTTGGTATACCGGGAGCAAATTACATCCTTCCCGTACGGAAACACAGACAAATACCTACACTAACATCTTGCATTTAAAACTTAATTTTGCAATAGCACTTATTGTATAGCATTATAAAATGTTATATAGGTCTTTGGTGCTCAAGGAAAATTCAACTCTGTTACTAATAAGTATAGGTTGAAATTCCTCTTTCGATGAGTGTCGCTTACCGCTTTTTTCGATCGATAACCCTTGTTTTGGAAAGCTATGGCGAAAGTCGTTGCCTTATTCGTACACCGACTACCATGTCTTGGTACTTTAATGTGATTTATTAAAATTTTATCTCTGTAATGTTCATTATCCGCGATTAAACCAGTATAGAATAAGAAGTGAAAATTATAGAAATATGAAAACTGGTCCTTCAATGGCTGTAGTTTATTAATAGGATATTGCGAATAACACATTTGAATACCGTCGATTAGGAACTCGATTTTTCTTATCATTTTGAAACCTTTTTAATTAACAACGAGCTATAGTTGTGAATTCATTTGCGTGACCAAGATATATTGACTACACATATAATACGTATGTATATACATAATAATACGTATATTAATACAACATATAATAATTTTATTTTGTACATTAGTTAAAAATAAATATACAAATTCATTGGTCTGCGTTCTACTTATTTTATAAACAAGTCTTAGTCTTCAGGTTTATGATCAGACTCTAATTAAATACTTAAAATAAACCAAATAAGTCCAAATATAATTTTCTAAAGTCAACTTTTGGCTCCATCACAAATGCAGATTAGTTTATTGTGTTATTATAATATTATAATTGTCAATTGACTTATACATAAAAGTACTTACATATAGTAGCAAGTGCTTGAAATATGAACTATAATAACAAAAGTAAACCATATCAAAACATATAATTATGTAAAAATGTATTTTTAAGCTCATAATTAATTATGTAGAAAGTATCAAAATATGTTTCTCCCTATACAATATAATATGAATTTGATATATAATAATTAGACAAATTAACGGAGCACGTGTTTCTTGTAAGTCGTTAAAATCATATTTACACATCACGCACACAATTACACACGGACAGGGTATTGTTTTATACAGCATAGAAACGTAACAACATAAAAACATTTGATGTGGTTCCGAACAAAAAAAAATGTTTACTTTTAAATAAAAAAGCTAATACTTTTAATTTCTTAAAATTAATTCTAATTTAATTACAGCTAACAGTGATTCTTGAAAATATATAAATATATATAAAAAAATGTGGTGTTAAAAGATAAATGGTAAATCACTCGTGGAACCCTAACGAAAAGTGAAAAGGAACGGATCGCACCTCACTTGCCGTTTACTTCCGATTTCCAACTTCCCGCGGATGGTCGTCTCGACAAAACAAAAGCAAAATAAATATAAGAGTGAATATAAAAAAAATGTGCGGAACGGATCGGCGTTAATTATAAAAATGTGTGAACGGAACGTGAATAAAAGTGGCGGACTGGCCGGCGCGTTTTTTAGAATAAAAAAATAAAAACATTTAAAATGGCCAATTTTAAATTTGGAAGTGCGCGCGGAATAGTGGCGTTTAGAACACTGATGTTTTTTTCTGTGATAGCTAGAGTGTGGTGCTCAGGAACGGAGAATGACGTTTTAACATTACAAGACGATTTAGATTTGAAAGAAGAGTTACCATCGGATAGGAGAAGGCCGGCCAATGAACAGGAGAAGGATATATTACTTTTAGATGCATTAGGAAGAAGAAAGGGATATCATCATAACTCGTACAGTTCTTCGCAGGAAGACGATTCCATTATGGATTTATTGGGGAAAAGTAAGTTATTTTACACTTATAATTTATATTAGATATTTTAGACATAGTTCCAGCTTCTTTTAAGTACTATGAATTAATTATAATATGTATATTTTTCTTTTGTTATTAAACTTCAGTACAGTGGTGTGTTTCGTTTCTCAAATAAGTAAATGAGATACTAGATTTGATTCTCGGTTGAACAATTTTTTAATAAAATATGTCTAATTTAAGTCAAATACGTTTATTCTACTTTTTGTCTGATATTTAAGATGCTCCAGTTGGAAAATTAATATTTTTTAACGATTTCCAAATTGAGTAAATTTCTTGATTAAATTGATTTTTTTTTGTATTTAAGTCACGCGATATCATCGCTATTTCATCAATCGATATTATATTATCATTTTATAGGACTTTCTTGCAATAATTACTTCTGTATTAATTCTATATTAATTTTAATTTATATTTTCTTGATATCATAATTAAAAGTTTTTTTTTTAGTGTACCGAATATCGAATTAAAGATTTTATTCGACTATAATAGAAACTAAATTAATATGGAACTAACACTAAAATAAACCCAATCGATTGCAAAGAATCATCAGAATTTGCATAGGTATAGTGTGACGTACAAAATTACACAAACGGATAAGGAATTTTTCCTTTTTGAAACTGCTTAAAATCTTTACAGACAAACTTGTGTAATGAATGGCTTTGTTTTCTATTTCATAAACTTCCGCATCACCATCCACATCATCATTACTATTCCACCCATTCTGAATTGAGGCTATATTTCAATGTAGCTTTATTTAGTATCTAAACTCATCTTCCATGTTTTTTACACAGGTAGATACAACATGAAATTATAATGACTGTTTCGGGTTCGATTCCTAGTCGGGCCATTTTAGAAGACGTACTTCTCCAAATTGACTCGGATCTGGGTGTACAGAGTTGTGCCCAGTTGTCCCCAGAAGTTCGTTGCCAGGATCCTCACTACACAGGGCATCCTATGAGAACCGGGCAATAGCAGTGATTACGCGGCACTTACTAGCCATTCGCCCCGACTCCACATGATTTTATTTCAACTAAAATACAGCCTATTCTATGCTGATACTATACGGCAACTCGCAATAGTAGTCTTCAAGAATGTCAACGCCTGAGGGATACCATAGATAGGGTATTTTAATAATATAATAGTTTATTCTGTTTCGTCCATGGTACTGCTCATGTCTATAGGCGACGGTTACCACTTTCCATCAGGTGGGCCGTCAGCTAGTTTGCCATTCTAAATGTCATAAAAAAATGCGTACAAAGCTACGAGTAATAGCCAGTCAACCGACTTTGAAAAGAATAAGGTTTTAATTTCTATTGTATTTTTTTATGTTTGTTACTTCATAACTCTGTCAGTTCTAAACCGATTTGGAAAATTCTTTTTGTATCTGAAACGATATACTTACAGATTGGTCTCATAGATTTTTTTTTAATCGATGTAGTAGTTTAGTTTTTAAATGAAAATAACTGATATTACCACAGTTAACAACTTTTTTTTTTGTGAATCAATCTTAATTATAGTGTTTATGTCATAAACATTTCTCGATTTGGAAAATTCTTTTGTTATCTGAAAGGATACACTTACGGATTCGTCTCATAGAGATTTTATCATAATCGGTTTGGTAGATTTATTTTCAAATCAAATCAGTTTTGTCACAACTGAAGTAATTTTTTTTTTCATTGAACACACTCAGTTATATAATATACGCATCTCATAGGAAATGTTGGCGAAGTCGAAACACGATAACAAGAGTGTAAAGCCGCAGGCAATAAATAGTTTAATACTTTTAAAAATCACCATTACGTCATTAATTTATTGTTCATTGCTAGTCAAAGGCCATGTTTCGTGTAGCTACATTAAAAAATACATTCCGAATCTTTTCTCTGAATATGTAATAGCGATTGCGTAAGCCATATAGCTAATTGCTATTATGGAATTATATAATTTATTCATTGGTAACAAGCTATTAGTTAATGTCAGCTTTGTTCGAGAACCATTTTTTAAATCATTTGATCTTTATAATAATATAATCTATACGTGAAACAAAAGCTTTGTATCCCTTTTTAAGAAAATTGCGTGGACGGAGGAGTATGAAATTTCACACACTTATAGTTTACTTATAATTTAGTGGGGAAGAAATGGTCTGAGTGGCGACCGCATACGGGTAAATGCTGTGTAGGGCGACCCCCTTATTGTCTATACCCCCTTATGGGATTAGGGTTTCTATAATGGATTATAATGAGAAGATAACCCCTACTTAATGGAATGAAGACCTCAAATGTATTGCAGGGAGTCAGTGGATGCAGGTGGCTCAGGACTGTTCCTTGTGGCACGCTATAGGGGATGTATATATTTAGCAGTAGACAGATAATAGCTGAGATGATGATGATGATGATGATGATGAAGACTAAGTTCTTGCCGCCGCGTGGTCGTTAAAGTTATTATTTTGTACTGCAATTTTAATAGTTTTACTATTTGATCTACATTTTTTTTATTGTATTGACTTAAATTAATTAAAAGTAATGCCAATTTACTGTACATAACTTTTTATAAAATAAAATAATTTTCACAAAATAAATATATGATAGATACCTAAATACGTTCCGTGATCGAAATAAAAATAACCAATATCGTTCTCCATTCCTTATTGTATGTATGTACCAAATCGGTCGTCGGGATTTTTTTTTAATGGATGATAAAATAAGTAACCTTTCTCCCCTTCCCCCTTTCGCTATCGGTATACGCTGGCGGGGCACCAGTAAGAGATGATAGGTGAGGATAAAAAACAGGTTAGTTAGCTCATCGTAATGTATGCAAGAACTAACCACGATAGTTTCCGGGAGGAACTGCATGGAGGTCAACCTAATAGAGTATATTGCTAGCAATGGGGATGTTAGACCGCAGTGTTAAGGATCTCTTTTTCCTCGACTGTTGGTTTTTTTTAATGAATAAATATGAAACGGTAACCCCCCGCCTGCGCTATTAGTATACACTGGCGGGGCACCAGTGAGGGATGATAGGTGAGGATGAAGCAGGCCAGTTGTCCCATCATGGCGAATTCATCAATAATTAACCAGGATAGATTCCAGGGGGACATGCGTGGAGGTCGATCTAATAGGGAATATTGCTGGCAGGAGGGCCGTTAGATTACATTAGTAACTTAGCCTGCCCCATAAGGGGAGTTTTGCCAGTAGTTGCCACACTTGGCAAGCGGGTTGGAAACCGCAATTAGGCTTTTAGAGATGTTTTAAGGGGGACGCTGCTGTCCATTTCTCGCTTTCCCTTAGTCACCTCTTACGACACCAACGGGTGGCCCATTCTATGTAGGGACCACATGGTTATGGAAATTACAGGGTATGGGAAATATAATATGGTAGTCTTCAAAAATGGCAACAAATGGGGATCTGAGGTGTACCACTGGCATAACAGTCTATTCTGTACTATCCACGGTATTGTTCATGTCTATAGATGACGGTTACCACCGTGTGTGCCCCGACACGGCGTGGATTAACTTACTACTGGTCAATGACAAAGGGGGAAAGGGATTGTTAGTAATGGAGTTTGACAGCCCCATTGCTAGCAATATGCCTTATTAAGTCGACCTCCACGTGGTTCCCCCTGGCAACCATCGTGAACAATTCTTGTTGAATTCGTCACAATGGGCTAACTGACCTGCTTCATCCTCACCTATCATCCTTCACTGGTGCCCCGCCGGTGTATACCGATAGCGCGGGTGGGGTTACCATTCCATTATCATCCATTTAAAAAAAATACTAGTCAATGACAAGTAATAAACCACTTGTGCAATAATGCATTATGATGAACGTGCATCACGGTCAATGTACTGGTTTACATCATTTTCTCTGGACACGCGCGTGCGAGTTTACTCTCTATTGGATTGATAGCGTGTTTACGTGACGTTTACGTCACATACTAACGTACAATTTATTTGCGAAGATAAAGTATGTATAGGGGTTATTCAAACAGCGCCCTCTAGGATTTTTGTTATATATTCTAATCTATGTTTCATATTATATATGATTCGGATCGGATCAGTTCGGATTGATACCTGCTGCTGATTTTCACCACCGTATAACCCGCCATAAACTAAAGTTTCACCCCAACCATCTGAACGAGGAGCAGTCTTTTACAGTGCGTTTTTCAAGGCACTTTCTTCCACGCACAACCACTCTTTGGAATCAACTTCCAGCAGCAGTATTACCGAACCGATACGACATCGTAAACTTCAAGAAAAGAGCATATTCCTTTTTGAAAGGCCGGCAGCACACCTGCAATGCCATTGGTGTTGTGACTGATTATGAACGGCGGTAGTCACCAACAGGTGAGCCGCATGTTTGCCCCCTGTGTTGTAAAAAAAAATATATGTTCCCTTTTGTCTGTTAGGGTTTTTTTAATGGATTATAATGAGATTGTAACCGCTCCTGCGCTTACAGTATACACTGGCGGAGTACCAGTGAAGGATGATAGGTGAGGATGAAAACAGGTCAGGCCCTAGAACACACTTTATGTGTTCTAAGGCCTGACCTGTTTTCAGAACTAACCTGACCTGTTTTAAGAAGCCCTAGAACACATAAAGTATAGACCACGTATCGAGGTCGACCTGGATGGGTCGTGGCGGGAGATATTATTGGCAATAGGACAGTAATCTCTCTTATTGAAGGGATTGTTACTAATGGGGAGGTTAGTTCCCATTGCTATCAATATACCCTATCAGGTATTCACGCGGTTCCTACTGGAAACCATCGTGATTAATTTATCGTTGAATTCGTCACGATGGGCTAACTGACCTGCCGTTTCATCTTCACCAATCATCCCTCACTGGTGCCCCGCCAGTGTACAGCGATAGCACAGCCATCATTCCATTATCATTCATTAAAAAAAAATCTCTGTTACTAACAATCCCTTCTCCTCCTGACGTATTAGGGTTTCTTCAGGGTCGGTAAAACGCATGACATCTTTGGGATTGTAGGCATACATAGGCTACAGTGACTGTTTACCATCATGCGTGCTTGTCTGCCATCTTTGTAGGACGCCAATTTTTATACATATTTGGTCAGCCATTTAAGCGTAATTAAGCAACGAACATACAAACAACTTTACAAAATTTCACAACCTATTATTATTAATGTAATAAATGTGAAAGTTTGTAACGGTGAATGTTTGATATTCTTTCACGCAAAAACTACTGAACGGGTTTGAGTGAAGTTTGGTACATGGGTAGGTTCCTATCATAACACATAGGATATTTTATGCACTGATTCACACATGGCGTAGTCGCCGGATACAACTAGTTTATAATGGTAGGATGTACAGACATCGTCCACTTACAATTTTATTATATAAATAAGATATAAATATAATTTTGTCTCACAAAGCCATTATTTATGGCGACCTATGGTGAAGGTCAATGTTGAGCACTGGACAGTGAATGGTTGAAGTGGTTATGATGAAACAAGACTGAGAAATGATATTAATTTAAAGGCCGGCAAAAGAAGGCCTACCATGAAATGTTTTCTGAAAATTAGGGACCGAACGATACACAAATTTGATGTTAAAATTACAGAACACATAGCATTTAAAAATTTTAAAATATCCTTTGGATTTTTATGGTATGATTTATCTCATAAAAAATATAAATGTGAAATGAGAGCCAAGTTCAATATTAGGAATAGGTGTCGTTTTGACTCCGGCGAATAAAAGAATTGTTAAATATATATAAAAAAAGTATATATATACTTTTTTTTATACAACTTAGAATGGCAAACAAGCCGACGGCCCACCTGATGGAAAGTGGTAACCGTCGCCTATAGACATGAGCAGTACCATGGACATAACATGGTGTGATATCCTCTGGTGTGGATATAGGTGCAAAGTTTTGTATAGAGAATCTTAAAATTTACAAGTTACAAGAACATGCGATATTATAAAAGGAATTTATATAACAATTTCTTGTTTCTTGTTACTACATTATTAATCATCGTAATACAGTATATGAAGTATTACATATGTTAAGGTAGGATATAACTAAATTTCGTTCAAATCCGTTTATTCGTTAAGTGTTTAAGTAAAATATAGGGAATATAAAACATTACCAGAGGGAGACTTTGTACAAAAGTCGTATGTTTGGCCACCTCTGTCCCATTCGTGTTTCAACCGTAAAGCAGTTGTGTTTGCATGGCTGTTTCGGTTTGAAAGATGGGATATGGCGTGAATTTACAAGGTACAGAGGAATAACACCTGAGTCCTCAGGAATGGCGACGCATGAAGGGTATCATGGGCGAAACAGTATACTCTGTTATGTTCATGGTACTGCTCATGTCTATAGGCGACGTTTACCGCTTTCCATCAAGTGGGACGTCAGCTTGTTTGCCATTCTAAGTTATATAAAAAAAAAAACAGGCCATAACATGTAGGTATGTGGAGTATTTTTTATGTATTTGTTCACAATTGCAACAACAGTCGATACATATTTCTGACTGTCCTATTAGAGATTAGCATCGTGAGAATATTGTTGTAACTTCAAACAAAAAAGGCTTTTAATTTGATTTCTTTTTATGTTTGTCACCTCAAAACTCCGTCATTTATAAATTTGGAAAATTATCTTCTTATCTCAAAAAATATACCTTGTACCTTCAGAATAATCCCAAACAATTTTCATCAATATAGGTCCCGTATTTTGGTTATTACTTGTTTTTCCAAGTAATTGGTTTTGTCGCGATTGAAATGTTTCTTTTTTTTTGTAGAACACAATCCTAAATTATGTATTTATTTATGTAAATTATGTTCTTTATTTCAGTGATCCCACAAACGTGTCGATACCGCGGCGTGCGGTACGCGTGCGGTCTGAGCATATCATGCGTGCTCGGTGGCGGGAAACCGTTAGACTTGTGCTCGGGCGGCATGATCTGGGCGTGCTGTGTCGACAGAGACACAACTGAGAGGCCCACCGAGCTGGCTCCTGTAGTCCACAATGCTAGTAAGTTGCATCTATATGTTTTCAATCTGTACTCTTTTTGAATTTCGAACAGAACGACCGACGACAATTGGCGAGAAATCATAATTTAGTGTATTTTACGAATGACAAGGCATTCTGCCTTGTGGTCGCAGCCTTTAGAAAAAAATTAGTAAGATTTTTTTTTAGCTGATCTACTCTGTATTTAATATCGATATAAATGCAATCTTTTGCCAATGACAGTTTTGTAATGCACTCATAAAATAACAATTACTAATTAAATTAGAATTCAAATCAGTTCGCATGAGCAATTTTAATGTATCTTGTTCGATAACATGCATCTATTAGAACAATAAGGAATCATTATACCGCTAGTATTGCAATTCAAGAGAGTAAAACGTCTTATTTCCAATATCGATCAATTAGTTTTTATTTCAACAGATAATAAATTTCCAAACCCTGCATTCATAAAAAATGGCGATTTATAAGTGCTTAAACAAGTCTATTTAAATAAACATGATTTAAATTTGAAAAAGCGCCATCTAGATCCAATTTACGCAAAACTATAGTTGACTTCGTATTTTACAAAAATGTTACTTGTAACTATTTAAAGATTATCTAACACTTCTCAGGTCTTTGAACCATCATTATTTTAATACATTTTTATCCCTTTTTCTGTCATATTGTCATAGATGTTTTTATTGCAGAAAAAAATATATACATATTTTAACAATATTAAATAAAATTTTGTCCGTCGGTCGTTCTATTTTACTTAATGTTTGTATTATTTCATATAGATTTCTATTTATGTGTCTAATTCTAATTGTAATTAATCATAAGACCTGTCTTGTTTTTGTGTTTAATGTTTTACAGCTTTATCGAAATTACTAATTTTATTAAAAAAAATATTATAAGTTTTAGTCAAATATCTCGTTCTATAAACCTTTTTAATAATTTATAAAATTAATTTAAAGCAACCAATAAAATACAGATTATACAGACTCATGATATATCACGTAATGCAATGTAAATTGTTTTCTAAAACGCTGTTTTTTTATGATATTTTACAAATTTTATTATTAAGAGCATTCATACTGAATTTTACCGAAGTGTGGCGATGTCAGAACTATTTGTCAATTAAAAAAAAAACAGTTATTGAACACTTTTTAATACGTCTTTATTTTTACTTAATAAAAAAATTAATAATTACAGCATGGGATTCTTTAAAAAAGCGATAAAGAGGTATCTTCAGGGTCGGCAATGTGCTCGTAATGGTATTGCAGGCATTCATAGGCTACGGTAACCGCTTACCATCAGGTGGGCCGTGTACTTGTTTGCTACCTTTGTGGTATAAAAAAGAAGTAATCTAGTGCACGAGTAACACACTAGTTCGTTATCGGAGCACTTTTAAAAATAGTCAAACAGAAATAATGAAAATTGATCAATTATTTTTGAAAATTAACGGTTATTTCAACAATAGTCCGTATACGCTCTCCATCAACAGGGAGTTCAACCCCATATCTTAGAATCTGAATGGTCGCATACAGAGCGGTGTCTGAGGTGCTTTCTTCCGCGAATGCTCCAATTGTAAAATGTTTTTTTTTATACCACTGAGATGGCAAAGAAGCATACGGCCCACCTGATAATAAGTGGTTACCGTAGCCTATGAACACCTGCAATACCAGGGACATTACGCGTACGTTGCCGACCCTGAAGAAACCTCTTTACCCCCCTTTTGAAGAACCCCATGCTGTAGTCTCTTGGGAAAACCTCGGCAGGGAGCTTATTTCACAACCTGAGTGTTCGTGGCTCCCTGTTAAAATGTTCATGTAGGCCGTATGCTTGTTTGCCACTTTAGCGGTATATAAAATAATTTAAACTAAGTTCCACAAAAAAATCTACTCCAATAGTGGCAAAAAATTATATTGATTTAAAAACTAAACTACTGAACCGATTTTAATGAAATTTTTGAGGGACCAATCTGAGAGTTCGTATATTACTTTCAAATTGTTTCTTTTCAAGTTAATAAAATAATAATTTTTAAATCTATTTATAACTGACGAATTTATGAGGTACCTAACGAACATAAAAAAATACAACGTAATTGAGAATCTTTTTTTTTCAAGTTGGTTGAAAACTTTGACGTTGCAACACTTCACTAAGATTTATTATGAACTCTCTTAATGTATAGTAACTAAACTTTTAAATTTTGTATGATAACGTTATATATGTATGACTACTAAAATATAATGTATGTTTAAATAATGTATTATGGTGCTGAAATATTTAATGAATAAATACGAAAGTGTCTTTTAGTGCCGTACACACATACAATTGCAGACCTAAAATCACTTGTCTAAATCACTTATAAAAACATGCGTAATATGGATACCGATCCAATATATATATATTGGGTTCTTCTGGATATTAATGGCGAAAAACGGTCGAATATTTAGTTTCAAATATGCTAAAAATCTGTTATACAATATTATCATCAGATATATAATATAATAATATCACCAGAGAGAGACTTTGTATAAGTTTGTAACTCGATTGCTTGGGTACCTCTGTCGGTCATTCGTGTTTCAACCGTAAAGTAGTTGTGTTTGCATGGCTGTGTTTCGGTTTGAAGGGTAGGATATGACAGTGAATTTACATGGTACAGAGGAATAACACCTGAGTCCTCAGGAATGGCAACACATGGGGGATATCATGGGTGAAACAGTATACGCTGTTATGTCCATGTGTATAGGCGACAGTTACCACTTTTCATTAGGTGGGACGTCAGCTTGTTTGCCATTCTAAGTTGTTTAAAAAAAATTATTATTTTTTAGATAACATACTTTTAACATATTCGTTATTGAACCAGTACATAGATATTGTAACTAAAATGTAATAAAAATAGATACTGCTATATATTACCAACTTATAAGAGTATGACCCTATGTTACCGAGGGTAATGAGGTCTAACAGCCCTATTGCTAGCAATGTGCCCTAACAGTTCGACCCCCACGCGATTCTCTCTGAAAACCATTTTGTTTAATTATTGCTGAATTAGTCACGGTAGGCCACCTGACCTGCTTCCATCCTCACCTATCATCCCTCACTGGTATCCCGCTAGTTTATACCGATACATTTTTTTTTTAATTTATTTATGACCATGGATACAAGTCCTTTAGTCGCATAAATAATATTTACAATAGGAATAACCGCAGATGTGTGGGAGTATATATCAATAGCGCAAGCGAGGTTACCATTCGATTTTCACACATTAAAAAGGCTATGTTACCATGTGAGTAATATACTAAATCCCTATTCATAAAAACTAGTGGTCGGCCAGTGGTCGAAGTTCCACCATAACATATATTGTAATAAATGAATTTATTATGGTTATGTATATCAAGCTAATTAAGCTTATTGTTATATCAAGCTAAAAGATGTGTGTGTGTGTATGTATGTATTTTGCATATATAAAAACCGATCATTGTCATTACGCAAATGTGAAAACGATTCATGGCTTAACATAGATATAAATTTGATTATGTATTGACTGTAATTCAGCTGTACGTTTTCCAAAAAATAAATAAATAAATGTGACATTCAATAAGCAGTAACAATATTAAGGTATTCTCAATTTGACCAGACTTTAACAATAAACAAAAGAGAGTGTGTCAAATACATGGTAGTATGTGCAATGTTTTTTTTTTTTTATTGATATAATGTATTTTTTATGCATTATTTAAAAGAAAATTAGTATACTGCACACCTTCTCTATATAAACTATAAGTGTGCGAAATTTTATACTCCTCCGTCCGCGCAATTTCGTAAAAAGGGGTACAAAGTTTTTGCTTCACGTACTAAAATATATAGATGTAACTTTAATTTATTTGGTACAATAATATTTTGTTCAAGTTAACCCTACAAAATTTATTGATATCGTTTACCGTAGGCATTTTACTCGTAATAGTCAAGTGACAATAAGTGTATTACGAAACCATACGTGTTTAAGCGCTCTCTCCGATCCGTGCAAGTGATAAGTTAACAAAGTGTCACGATTCTTTCCTTTTGGAGCTAAGCCAAAGCGTTTGCGGCTTTCTTAAAATTTCACATTTATTACCTAAGTGATTTCGAGCAATTTAAGATTATATTCCACAAAAAAATCGACTTGTTCCACAAAAAAATAGACTTCAATTCTGGCAAAACTAGTTATTATAATTTCGAAACTAAACTACTAAGTATATCCTCTCAGATAACAAAAAAAATTTTCTAAATCGGTTTATAACTGACGGAGTTATGAGGTAACAAATCTAATAAAACCTAACCGAATTGAGAACTTCTTTCTTTTTGAAGTCGCTTGAAAATTAAGTAATTTCAAATAGGGGAAATGTTTTTATATTTAGATACACAACAGCTTCATCAATTTTGAACCAATTTGGATTATTTATATTTTATTATTTTATTTAATTTTTATTTTGTTTAGACTTTCTTATAATAAATCACTTGGCTGAAAATTTTGATTAATTTTTCGTGCAAAATTCTTAAATAATTATTCTCTATTCAAATCTGTTCGGGCAGATTTATTTTCGACTTTGTACATTACAACAATAGTGCTAATTGTCCATTGTATACCACGGTTTCCTATCGCTGCGAGTCCGCAACCACCGCCACCCAAGTTCACGCACTGATTGTTCCAAGACGAATAATTACGTGCACTTATTTCCGGAGTTGTACTCCATTCATATAATCAAATTCTCTTACCGTTATTTCGTAACAAATTTACACTTTCACGACTGTACTGACGTGGTTATATTATATGTTAGCTTTTGCCCGCCACTTTGTATGTATGGATTTTGAAAGTAGTTGTAAACAACCATTTAATAACCATTTTTAGATGACTTACGAGTATCAAGATAAATTATAAACTAGATTTTGATTTGGAATAAAAACAGATCTAAGAGTTTACTGTAAAATAAAATACCGAATTTTCGAACGTAATTTCGTGTTTTCATTCACACCGAAATTGGTTGTTTTTTTCTTACGTTTGTTACCTTATAACTCCGGTAGTTATAAATCTATCTGTAGTTTTATGGGACCAATCAGTAAGTATAGGATATACTTACATAGAAATGTTATCAAATTCGGTTAAATACTTTGGTTTTTAAATAAAAATACCTGGTATATAAGGTCCACCTAGACAGCTGATATTTATTTATTTTTTAGAAAACGTACAGCTGAAATACAGTCAATACATAATCAAATTTATATCTATGTTAAGCCATGAATAGTTTTCACATTTGCGTAATGACACAATTGATCGGTTTTTATATATGCAAAATACATACATACACACACGTACACATACATATATATACACATACATACACATACACACGCATATATACACACATCTATAAGAATTAAAAAGTTATAAATTTTGATGAGACATCTTTTAGCTTGATATATAATAACAAAACAAAAGCAACATAAAGCGAAACAACATTACTAAAATAGTCAATTAGGTGCAGCAGGACGAGAACCAAAGATATGATGAATATGAGAATATGATGATGATGACGTTGGTAGTGCACTATGAGTAAATATTCTTACTTATAATGAAATGAAATGAAATTTATTGCGCTGAATGTGGTAATATTATAAATTTTTCGGTAGCCTTATCATTTAGCCAGTTTGGCATACAACATTATGCAAATATATTGCTTGCTTTATGCTCACTTATTTTGTACGTGCAGACTTTAGAAGTAGGAAAAACAATAAAATTAGATATATGATACATCAAGATGATATCTACACCACATTTTATGTTATACCTTCAGAGACTGTGAAAACTGCATGTAATTTAGTGCGGTAGTTGATGCTAGAAGAAACATACAGACATATATACATAAAATTCCTAAAAATGATTATTTTAACATTTCTTATCGTTATTAAGACCCGTCGTATTATTTTTTCTTAAATATTTTCTATGTTTAGATATAATTTAGTTACAATTTTATTATATTACTAGCGGCCCGTCCCGGCGTCGTACAGGTGGACATTTTTACATTTAAAACAGTGGCCATTAAGGCTGCACACGCGACGAAAGCTTAAAAATGGAGTAACTTCTCCCGTTTTCCCAATATTTCCCTTCACTGCTCTGATCCTATTGAGTGTAGCGTGATGAAAAGTATACTATAATCTGCCCAGGAATATGAAGACGAACGAACGTACAGACAGACAGACATAAATTTTACTGATTGTATTTTTGGCATCAGTATCGATCACTAATCACCCGCTGATAGTTATTTTGGAAATATACTTCATGTACAGAATTGACCTCTCTACAGATTTATTATAAGTATAGTTTAAACTAGAAGCAGTACAAGATAATAGCTGCATTGTAGAACGTTATTATACAGTTAAAGTAAGATAACGACTCTTATTGAACTATTTAGTTATACAAAAGTAACTTATAGAAATTGTACTTTATGACTATTATTGTTTATTAGGAGAAAAGGCCGATCTGTCGCAACAGTCGTGACCTAAGATCACCTTCGGCTGAATTGTACAAGATTAGAGAGAAACCTAAGAGAAAGTGACAAATTATGTCACAGCCATTGGGCCGTTAACACAATAGTATAGTACGGATGGTATAGAAAGTTAATTTCATATGTACCTTATATTCTATTAATGGAGCGATAAGTACATTTTAAACCGTAACAAGTGGATTTTGTTCCACAAAAAAACGCCGACTCCAATTGTGGCAAGACCACTTGTTTTGATTTAAAAACTAAACAATAGAAGCGATATTGAGAAAATTTCTACAGGACCAAACTAAAAAAAAACAACCAAATTGAGAATGTCCTCTCTTTCTGAAGTCGGTCGAAAGTATACTTATAGACACATGATCTATCTTTTCATTTAAGAGTTTCCTCTTGTTGGTGCAACTAATTCATCCAGCCAGTTCTATCCCAGGCCATATCCATGACCTCCCTACACGACACGTAGTGTTTCTTTTATCTATCCCACGTAGGTATCCCTCGGTCTTCCTCTTTCTCTATTACCCTCTATTTTTCCTTCTACTATGCTCTTTAAAAAAGACACATGATGCCGGTTATAAATTTTAAAATTATTAATTAAATAAAATGAGTTTATTTTATTAGAATGTAAGTAATTTTTAAATGGAAGTGGTTTACATTTCCCGTATACATTCTGTCTCTTTGTCGGTGTGCAAATGTTTAGCATTATAAGAAATTTACATATATATTCTACATTATATTTCCTTTTATTAGAGGTATAATTAAATCTGTTTGTCTACGAAACATCTCGTCGTTCTTCGGCGTATTTTGTCACATTGGAGGCCACTTTTTTCAACCGATTTCAAAAAGAAGGAGGTTCCCTATTGAATTGTATTTTATTTTATATTTGTTACCTCATATGTAACTCCGTCGAATACATGCTCAACACTTTAAATAAAGAGAGTCAAAGATGTGGCTTGAAAATGAACTCTACGAAGACTTTTGCTATAACCAATAGTAAAAAAATACCTCTTATTGTGGAGACACGAAGTATTGATTATATGGAAGAGTACATATATCTAGGGATAAACATATTCTTTACAGCTCCGACCAACACAGAAGTACAACGCAGAATTAAAAAAGCTTGGTGTAGGTACTGGTCTTTGGGGGAAAATTTTAAATCAACGTTACCTGTTACATTGAAAAAGAAGGCAATGGACACAATAATTCTCCCAACATTGATGTATGGATGTCAGAGTTGGGCATTGACCAAAGATTCCTTAAATAAAGTTCAAGTGTTCCAAAGAGCAGCAGAAAGAAACATGATAGGATTAAATCTTAAAGATAGAAAGAGAAATAAGGATATAAGGAAAATTACACAGGTTATCGATGCTGCTGAGCTGGTCTGTAGACTAAAATGGAGGTGGGCAGGACACTTAGCAAGGATAACAAATGGTCGATGGAGCGAAAAAATGTTGTATTGGTATCCACGAAATAAAACAAGACACGCGGAAGACCTAAGACGCGATGGAGTGATGACATTGTTGATGTGGCAGGCCCTACTTGGACGAGACTCGCAAAGGACAGAAATATGTGGAAAAGGTTGGAAGAGGCCTATATCCTTAAATGGATACCCAAGTAAAGGAAAGGATATAATAATAATATAAAAAAAAAGAATGAATAATTTATATAATCAATATTTTTTTATAAGTTTATTTTATTAATAAAATAAGTATTATTGAATGAAATTGCATGTAATATTTTTTTTCTTTTCTTTATAATGGGAAATAAAAGGCTTTTTTATTTTATTTTTTATTTATTTATTATTTATTATGTAACTCCGTCAGTTCTAAACCGATTTGGAAAATTCTTTTGTTTTTCTGAAAGGATAGACTTACAGATTGGTTTCACAGAAATTTAAAATTTGAAGTTTGTAGGTTTAATTCTTAGACCAAAATAACTGGTTTTGTCACAATTGAAGTCGGTTTTTTTGTGTGTCACAATCTTTAATTATAGAAGCAAAATAGAATAGAATAGAATAAATAATTATTGTGAGCTGTACATTATAATTTTTCGTAAGAGGTTATTAACGTCTTAAAGGAAAACGCAGCCTTCCCATACATCGGGTATACAATACAATTAATCACATAACATTAATTATTTTACAATCATACAATGAAATCGTCAATAAAGTTGAAAATAAAATAAAGCACGTCAATCAACAGTCACAAACTAACACATGGTCACCATTACAATATATTAATGATCACCTTATACATTAATTAAATTATTTATAATGTCAATATAAAAAAAAATTACAAAAATATATTTCGTGTTACGCAAATAATGTTTCTTTTATGGGTACTTGATTGGCTTGTACATAATCAAACCTATTACACGACGACTAGGGATCACGTATTACTTTCACCATAAAATCGATGGAGTATTATTGCTTATTATAAACTTTCTTTGGAATGCGTTACGTCGATAACATAATCATTACATAAATGTATTATTGGTAATCATAAATACAGAGACGGCTGGACTATTACGGCAATTTTGTAATTATCCGTAGATACGAGTATGATATCTCTCACTAGATGGAGTGGCGACCTCAAATGCACTGCAGGGAGTCAGGTAGTTCAGGCCCGTTCTTTATGACAGCCTATGGGGGAGACCTATATTCAGCAGTAGACAGATAATGGCTAATATGATGATGATGATGATGATGATGAGGTAAAATGATGAAAGAGGACTGCAGTATATATCTCTAAAACATATAACGTTACTAAAAGCCTAACACCCTGCAACCCTGTGGTTGCTAAACCGCCTGCCAAGCATATCTTTTTTTTATACAACTTAGAATGGCAAACAAGCTGACGGCCCACCTGATGGAAAGTGATAACCGTCGCCTATAGACATGAGCAGTACCATGGAAATAACAGAGACTGTTTCGCCCATGATAGCCCCATGCGTTGCCATTCCTGAGGACTCAGGTGTAATTCCTCTGTACCCAGTAAATTCACGCCATATCCCACCGTTCAAACCGAAACACAGCCATGCAAACACTGCTTAACGGTTGAAACACGAATGAGACGGAGGTACCCAAACAATCGACTTGGAAAACATTGCTCCTTATGGGGCAAGCCTATCCACATATCATTACATCACATCCATACTGTCTCTATGCATTGCTATTCTTGAGGACAACGATGTTATGTCTCCATATAGTTTTACGATAGAAATGCATATGCAAATACATAGCACATATGCAAACTACTTTAGTACAAAGTCTCCTACAAAGTTTAATTAATAAAATGAGATTTCATTTGCCCTCACCTATCATCATTGATTTATACCCCACCAACTTATAGAAATGATTACTGTTTTCATCAAAAAGAACCTACAACACAATTCATTATACTAAGCATAATAAAAACAACCATAGTTAAACAGGTATACAAACTTAATACATAAATTCCCATACAGGTGACCTTATTGAACTCATCGGCACATTCCCCCACGAAAACTATGATTATCAGAACACAAATCAATTCGAGGACCCTATCATCATCTACGCAGACACTAACCGACCGAAACCGCACCACAACCGGCCGAAACCGGGCACTAACCACCCAGAACCGGATCAGAACCACCCGAAACCGGATTGGGAGTACAACCAAAACCATTACTTCCACGTGAAACCCTCATATCACGAGAGCACAACCACAAAACCTACACAGGACGAATTTTACACCCCGGACCATTACCCGGGTCAAAATAACGGAGACGGTGGTGATGATTATGTGCCTGTCCACACAAACGGTCACAAACCGCAGGGACCTAGTTATCCGGGTGAGATGTTTGGTGCATATATGGATGCTCTTTTAAATTACCAATGGACAAACTCAAGTGGTTACTTTTATTATTGTTTGTAAAAAAAAAATCTAAATAAAAAAAATGTTAATTTTAAACTTTCGCTTTGTTTACACATATTTTAAATACACAATGGGGACTTAGTATGATGTAAAAGCTTAGAATAAAGAAGCAGGTATGTAGCTACTATTTACCTGTAAAAGCTTTTACATCGAGTTAAGTCCCTATTGTGTATTTAAAAAAAATGTTAACGAAAATGGATCAGAATACTTTATTTCCTTTGAATAAAAAAGTTTTTATTAAATAAATTGCATATTCAGCTAATATTAAGCATGAAAGTTTTAAAATACAGTTTATAATTCGAGAATCAATAAATTAATATGTCACATTAATTTATATAAATTATAATTTGAAATAATGTAATAAATGTGACGCTAACAATTACTGTTATTGGAACATAGGTATATGACAAAATGTTTAAATGAAATTTTAAAACATTAAAGGGGATTAATAAATTAAATTAAGTATTACAATTTGATTTATTATATTATTTTTAATATCAATAAATTTATAATCAATCGCTAGAAACAATAATAACAAATGTAAATTGTAAATATAAATTTAAACATCTAAAAAAATGTATTTATTTAAAAAAAATTTTTGATAAAATAACCACGCCTTAAGTGATTTTGGCAGCTATTATAGGAGTAACCTGAACTATATGCTAATTTGTTAAAAAAAAATGCTTTCAGGGAGCGGGTATAAATTTTTATTTCGTTCAGTTATCGAATTTTATTTTGTTAACCAGATAAATAATCTATATAAATTCATCATCATAAATTGTAAGATCATCAATCGAATAATAATTTCTTGGGCCAAATTTTTTCTTGTTATTAACATACTACAAAATAATAATAAATTAACTATAATCTTCACCAAATTAAGGCAAATATGAATTGGCTATTCGTGGCTCTAAGAACTCTAAGTTCGACCACATCATCAGGCGAGATCATGTTCAATTGAGGGGTCCTTCAATAATAAAAACATGTTATACGTTTTAATTGTATATATACTAATATAAAATAACAAAATTTGAATAAATAATAATTAAATAAAATATACTATGGCTTATATGTGCTAAAATACATAAAAGAGTTATATATATATATATATATATATATATATATATATATATATATATATATATATATATATATATATATAAATATATATATAAAAATAAAAACATAAAAGAGTAACAACTATTACCCGTATACAAACACTCAAAGTACTTCCAGCGATGTCCACTTGAGTTTTTCCGTTGTTGCGATGGCCTATCACTTTCTCGCTTAGATACTCGTACACCACAGCGGCTTCATAATCATCGGCACCTTTCTGTTTATTACTGCACACGCTTATAATGGGTATATTACACTCTCAAATCCATAGAATGGTGACGTCACGATACGTCGAGACGTCACTCTTAAGTCATTTTAAGGTCAAAAAATGACTGAAATCTGACGTCCATTTAGAGTCACAGACGTCACCATGATATTTGTGTTATTATAGGATCATAGAAAAAGATATGTTTAGAGTTTATAAATGTATTTTTATTATCATTTTAAGGTTTTAACTCTTTGATTATTATTTATTAATATGATTATTATTTTTTGTTGTAAAACTTGCAAATCTGAACAAAATATCGGTAAAATAAATAAATAAATAATTATAATAAGAACTCGTCAAGTACGTCTAATTATTGTAAATACATATAAATAGGTTTAACTGTTTAAACTTTTTCATAAAAATTTAAAGGCCCATTAAACCTTTATCGAAGTGTTTTATCTATTGTACAAATGGTTAAAGGAGGTTTTAGTTTTATGCGAGTTCAACAATTGCTTATACATTTAAAAATAAAATATACATAACATGATCCTATATATTTGACAATGTAATATACCCCTCAATGTATTGTCTATATCTATATAATTAATAATCGATCGATCAATTGTTAAGAGAATCCATTCACACAAACAGCTATTACAACTACATGCGAAAAATCGACTATTGTCACTGAATTCCTCTATTTGACTCATGTAAATAAAAAAATAAATATAATCTTTCCCTGTGGAGGGACTTTAAATAAAAATGATTTTATTTAGTCTCTCCATGGGGATGTCATGTCTATTTTTTACCTAGTAATTTCGCCACCAAGTAGACTTATTCTACGTTGAAACATGAAAAATTACAAGATATTATTTGATACTGTGATTTAAGATCTACAAGTTATAAGGGCTAGCAATAAAGGTGTTATGCCTGGTGTCGCAAACGTTAGTGATTTGCGGTGATCGATTGTCATCAGGCTAGCTATATGCTTAATTGCCACCCTCGTTTGTGTAGTTGGTATACAAATGGATTTTCTTAATAATTCTTGTGTAAATGTATTTATATGTGTTTTGCTTTAAGGGCTTTCATTTGTTGTATAATATTGTGTTGTTTTGTGTATATGTTATGTTAGAGATTCAAATTAATTAGGAATTTATAGTTAATTTATACAAATCTTAATCAAATATGATTAATGACAAAATTACAATTTATTTATTTAGATAATGTATCAACACAATAAAATAAAACATTGCATTAAAATATTTAATGCATTGTTTTAATTTACTGTGTTTTATTGCGGTTTTATTATTTCTTTAGTTTAAGAAAAAATATAAATAATGTACAATTAATTATACAATTTTACAAAATAATATAATTAATTATGACTTGATAAATTGTATTTTAATTTCAAATATAAAATTTTAAAAAAGAAATAGCTTCAATTATATTAATTTTACATAGCAAATCTAATTAAATATTTTTAATTAAGAAGGGAGTGAAAATAATCACTTATTGTATTATTTCAGGTTGTGGCGAACATTTCACAAGGTCGAATCGCATCGTGGGAGGTCACTCGACAGGGTTCGGCTCGCACCCGTGGCAAGCTGCCCTCATAAAGTCAGGGTTCTTGAGCAAGAAGCTCGCTTGTGGTGGCGCCTTGATCTCTGACAGATGGGTGGTCACCGCGGCGCATTGTGTGGCCACGTAAGTGTATAACTTTAGTGAATTATTATAGATTTTAATATAATTGAAAAAAAGAATACTGCATAATTTACATACATTTTCAAAAAATATGATATTTTATGTATTTATTTATTGTATGTATATATTTATTTATTTAATATAATATGTGTATGTTTATATTATATGAATATATTATATATATTACTTTATTTTTCCTCTATTCAATAATGCACCATCTACTTATTTCTCTGTTTGCCTAACGGCTGACTGGTAGAGAACACTGTCCGGTGTTAAGTCCACCATATGTACATAGAATATTACTGTGTACTAAAGTTTAAGTAAATAAATATTTGTAATGTTATAAAACTTATTATTTCGTATAAATTACTCGTAAAATAGGATCAACACGAGAGGAATTATTATAAATTTCAAATACAATCAATAAAGTCGGTTCAGAATTGGTAAATTGTCTTTTGCTAGTAAGTGAATTTTTAATTCACGTAAGTAAACGAACGACGAAAAATAGCTAGAACCTATTATAAATGTGAAAGTGAATATGTTTGTTTTAGTGCCTTAATAGTTTAACTGTATACATATTACAATATATACATATAAAACTCGCTATTTTCTTGAAATTAGAATAGAATATGAATTAGTGTGAATTTGTAATAGGAATGACATACATAATTAATTGAAATTAGCAATTATGTAAATTATGAATAAATGATCTGTGTCTGTATCTGCGTAGGATGTTTGCCATGAATAAAGGCATAGTATTAGGAATCATCAGCGTTCCTGCTTTTGCAGGAACTTTAAGCTGAATTGGCATCCTTCTTCATTACCATAACACTGACTGATTTCTACTACTCTTTATATATAAATGTAAACTTTTTTTTTCTATATTTTATTTATTTATTTCTATGTTGTTATTACTTATAATCTAAGTATATGTAAGTGCTATGGTTTATTGAAATAAATTTTCATTCATTCAAATTTTCATTTGTTCAATCATAATGAGCGAAACTAAATGTAGCAACTGAAATCTTTATACTGTCAAAAAATGAATGCAAAAATAATTGGCAAATTGACAACAAAGTATACAGACAACATAAAAATGTAATTTTGTAATATATATTAAGTAAATGTGTGCGATATGTCAGAAACTATTTTTTTTTTATATTTACCGCGGGTACATATAATAAAAGCTATACAATAGCTTAAAAAGGTTAGTTACATCGATCGATCAATATATCATCAACGGTCATGTGGACCAAGTCGCATGCTATTACTAGTTTTTTTTTTAAATGGATGATAATGAAATGGTAACCCCACCCATGCTATCGGTATACACCGGTGGGGCACCAGTGAAGGATGATAGGTGAGGATGAAGCAGGTCAGTTAGCCCATCGTGACGAATTCAACAAGAATTGTTCACGATGGTTTCCAGGGGGAACCATGTGGAGGTCGACCTAATAGGGCATATTGCTAGCAATGGGGCTGTCAAACTCCATTGCTAACAATCCCTTTCCTCCCGCTATTACTAGTTTATTGTACATATTATTTTATTCACTATTTAAGGAACTTTAATTCAATATTACAGGACACCAAACTCCCAACTCCGAGTCCGTCTCGGCGAGTGGGACGTACGCGATGCGGGGGAGAGGTACTCCCACGAGGAGTACGCGGTCCAGAGGAAGGAGGTGCACCCCGCGTACGAGCCAGCCGACTTCAGGAACGATGTCGCGTTAGTCCAGCTGGACCGGGGCGTGGTCTTCAAACAGCATATATTGCCTGTAAGTATAAATAAAGGTAGTAAGGAAGCCCTAATGATCTGTAGTCAATGACGGGGTTATATTTTTCAAAAAGTAATGATCATTTCACCTTCTATCGCTCTTTTAGTAGCGACATAATGGTTCCATACTGTTCTGATAGATGCATATTGGTGCAACTTGCCAATGCAAACTATTGTAAACCGATCCTAATTATAGCTAATTCCTAACTGTTGTTACACGAGTGCAGTATTAAATTGTCATTAGCAATAGATTTGTACTGAGATCGACGTTGGATTCAAGAGTTATCCTACTGTTTGTTTGTTTGTTTATTATTATAATTGAATTGCTTTCTATTTGTATACAATTTTGTTTGTTTGTTTTGTTTTAGTTTCTTTTGTTCTTTTTTTGTGCGCTACTGTGTGGGCCGCATGCTTCTTCGATTAAATTATTTCTATCTTCTTCTTTATCTTCTTTTAGGAATAGAAGGGAAGAGACTTTCACTACCTAGGCTTTTATGTAGGGATGGGTAGGTAAGGTAGCTGTTGTAAAGTGATTGAATAAATGGATCAGCGATTAAATGATAAAAGCGTAAAGCGAAACATGTATCACAGTTTTTTTTATGGAATTTTATGTTTGAAAAATCTGTCGTTTACAGATCGTAGCCTATTCGGCCTATTGATAAATCCGGCATTGCATATTGTGGTCAAATAGATTAGATTTTACCAGAGGAAGGCTTTGTACAAAAGTTAACTTGTACTTGCAAGCTTACAGTTTAAAAGGTTGGGTATAGCAGTGAAAGAAAGTACAGAAGCACTGTAGATTCAGCCAGTCAATAAGCATTCTCTTTTTTATATAAAGATTCACAACAAGAGATGACTTATTTGTGGTTTTGCTTTCATTTAATTTTTATTTATACCGCGAAGGTGGCAAGCAAGCATACAGTCCGCCTGGTGGTATACGGTCACTGTAGCATATGGACGCCTACAACACTAGCGGTGGTACGCGCGCATTATCGGCCATCAAGAAATCTTAATATACTCTTTTTGAAGAACGCTATACTGTAGTCACTAAGGAAAATCTCAGCAGGGAGCTCCTTCTACAGTCTAAGCGTTCACGGGAGAAAATACCTTTGAAACCGCATTGTACATGACTGTTTAGTTTCAAGCGTGTAAGGATGAATTCTCAATCGATGGCGAGCAGCGAGATAACAAAAAGTGGCTGTAGGTATCAATTCAAACAATTCCTCAGAACATAATCCGTTGAAGACGCGATGGAACACACAAAGGGTAAATGTAATTTCACCATGACGAAATTTATATGGGAAAGACATGGGAGTGAAAGTTTTACAATTGAGAAAAAAATTGAAATTGCCTACATACTTATCGAATTATGATATCTTTAATTTCAGGTATGTTTGCCACAAAAGCAGGTGAAATTAGCTGGCAAAATGGCCACAGTAGCCGGCTGGGGAAGAACAAGGCACGGGCAAAGCTCTGTCCCTTCAGTATTGCAGGTTAGTTTTTATACATTTAGGTGCCAAAAATACAATCATTTCAATTGTGACAAAACATATCGATATGGCAGTCTATGGGGGAGGCTTATGTCCAGCAGTAGACGGATAATGGCTGAATTGATAATGATGAATACCGATAAATCAATAGTTGTGTGGTCCCGGCATAGAATGGACCGCTCCTTCCTTTCTCGTGAGTGTCGTAAAAGGCGACTAAAAGAAGGAGAAAATATCAACAAAGCCTAACAATGGTCGCCAACCTGCACCTACCAAGCGTGATAATTACTGTCACCCTCCCCCTCCCCCCATAGGACTCATATTGAAAATTCTTTTTTATCGGAAAAGATAAACTCACAGATTGGCCTCATAGAAATTTTATCAATTATTAAATTAGTTCAGTAGTTTAGTTTTTAAATCCATAAACAGATTTTGCCAAAAATGAAGCCGGTTTTTTTGTTGTGTCATACAATCTTAATTATGTTTAAATACAAATTCAAAATATCTTTATTCATGTAGGTCTATTCCAGACTCTTATGATATGTCAAATCAACCGTCAGTTCGGAATGATTTGGAGACGAGAAGAACTGACAAGAAACTCAGCTCATACTCTTATCAAATAAAATTTATACATGTTTACAATAATGTAGATTCATTTTTAAATTCAAATTTGGAAGAATAGAATTACCACCAACATATGCTATATCTCTCTATTCTATTTGAGAGCTGCGCTCTTGTCGGTGGAGCTCTTGCCACTCACTACGATTTTCAGCGAGTCTCTTCACCTCTTGATACGACACGACACCAACTCCTTCCTTGATCTGCCTGATGTAACTATGTCTCGGTCTCCCTCTCCCCCTGCTTCCTTCTATCTTACCTTCTATTATAATGTTCATAAATTCGTCGTATCGTATCAAGTGTCCCAGCATTTTTCCCCTTCTGTCCTCAATAGTTCTAATAATTTGTCTTTTTTCCTTAACCCTAAGCAGGACCTCCTCATTGCTAATTCGATCGAATATGCTATATATGATATGCTATTTAATTCCTTCAGTTAGTGTGCGACTACCAACACTAGAAAATTTACTTCTATTATTATAACTAGAAGTTCTGTAGTATACGAAACTCTTTACAAATACTGGTTTGTTTTTCTATTATTGACTTAAGATTGTGACATTCCCTTTCTAACTACTATTGCCTGTAATAATACCAATGTATCGTTATTTTTAGTTGAATTAAACCAATATTTCCCTATGGTCTATATCGTTTTGTATCAAGTTCTACCTGACCTTTCCTGTCAGTCGTCATCATCATCAGTGACCGTTTAATGATTTGCAGGAAGTGGATGTGGAAGTGATCCCGAACGAGCGCTGCCAGCGCTGGTTCCGCGCGGCCGGCCGCCGGGAGACCATACACGACGTGTTCCTCTGCGCAGGGTACAAAGAGGTATCACTCACATTATTATTATTATTAGACATTATTTACCAGAGGGAGACTGTACAAAAGTCGTTTGCTCGGGCACCTCTGTCCCATTCGTGTTTTAACCGTGAAGCAGTTGTGTTTTTTTCTTATGGGTGATAATGGAATGGTAACCCCACCTGTGCTATCGGTATGCACTGGCGGAGCACCAGTGAAGGATGATAGGTGAGGATGAAGCAGGTCAGTTAGCCCATCGTGACGAATTCGACAAGAATTGTTCACGATGGTTTCCAGGGGGAACCACGTGGAGGTCGACCTAATAGGGCATATTGCTAGCAATGGGGCTGTCAAACTCCATTGCCAACAATCCCTTTCCCCCCAGCAATTGTGTTTGCATGGCTGTGTTTCTGTTTGAAAGGTGGAATATGGCAGTGAATTTACAGGGTACAGAGAAATAGCACCTGAGTCCTTAGGAATGGCAACGCATGGGGGGTATCATGGGCGAAACAGTATACTATTTGCCAATAGTTGCCACGCTTGGCAGACGAGTTGGTAACCGCAGTTAGGCTTTGGTGATATTTAAAGAAGATGGTGAAGAGGGATTCTACTGTCCACATGTCGTTTCATTTAGTTTTCTTAGTCGTTTCTTACGACACCAACGGGAAAGGAATAAACGGGTGGTCCATTCTATGCCGGGACCACACGGCGATTTTCTAGTAGATTAACATAAAGTTAAATATTTTAAATTCACAGGGTGGCCGTGACTCCTGTCAGGGCGACTCCGGAGGCCCCCTCACGATGAAGATGGAAGGGCGGAGCACCCTCATCGGCCTCGTGTCGTGGGGCATCGGCTGCGGCCGGGAGCACTTACCTGGAGTGTACACAAACATACAAAAATTCGTGCCTTGGATTGACAAATTGATCAATCCGTAATTGTGATTATCAATCGTCATTTCTAACTACATTTCATAAAATCGTAAAGTCAAAAACGTACATTGAAGAAATGTTTTTATGAGTATGTTATGTAGCACTAGCAATCCGACCCGGCTTCGCACGGGTAAAGAATGACAATGTTCTTTTTATAAGTGAAAGAATTAAGAAAAAATTTGTGTTAAATCAGTATGAAAAGCAGAACAGTGGAAAACCCAAGCTTAATTTAATTTTATGGAGGGTTTTTTTTTAATAGATGACCTAATGATAATGATAGTTGATTGAGTCATCGTCATGTATATATACACATATATAATCAGGAAATAATGATATGTTTTCCAAAGGGAACCGCGTGGAGGTCGAGCTCATTCATTTGCTAGCTTATACACGCGCATTAGAAATGGAGCTTCTAGTCCACATTATTACATCCTCATCTCCCTCTACAACGAAAGCTACAACATCACAAGCAAAGTCGCGGATATTGCTTGTCTACACTAATATTATATTGGGATATGGCAGTGAATTTACAGGGTACACAGATATAACACTTGAGTCCTTAGGAATGGCAACGCATGGGGGGTATCATGGGCGAAACAGTATACTCTGTTATGTCCGTGGTACTGCTCATGTCTATAGGCGACGGTTACTTTCCAACAGGTGGGCAGTCAGCTTGTTTGCCATTCTAAGTTGAATAAAAAAAAGAATTGGTACGTCATTTGCATTAATTTTAGTATTGATAATATCATTTTAATAAATATTAAAGCCTTCACTGTTTTTTTAAATAAGTGATTAGAAAAAGCAATAATTATTGTATTGTGATATTTCAATGAAGCATTATTACAATTAAGTAAATAGTAGAAGAGTGGCGCCCTCTAGTAGCAATAGTTTCTAAAATTTACTTTTTAAAATTCACTACATTAGATCATAATATATTCTATATTAAAATGAAAAGTCGTCCATGTATATATACATATATATACATGAACATATATAAATATGTCCATGGACATATATAAATAGCTGTTTTAAAACACAGATTTAAAAATAATATAAGAAGAATAGTTTATTATTGTTTAAAAAGAGATTTTGTCCATATAAAGAGATCTCAAAAATATGCAAAGTATTTTTAGTGATTTAAAACTCATATCAGTTTAATTTAAATGTAAACAAGAAGTTGCAAGTAACCATTAATAAAATTCATACAAGTCATTGATAAGTTCACATCCTATTACATCCTTATACAGTTTATTTCTTATTAATATCATAATTATATATTTTTTTTATTTCGGTTATTAACTTTTTATTCTTCGCTTTCATCGTTATTATCATCATTGCCATCGTCCTCATCATTATCTTTGCTATCATAATTTTCATCTATCATCACTATTTTCGCCATTATTATCTTCGTTATCATCATCGTTACCTGCACCATTACCATTATTTTCATTATTATCACTATTTTCGCCATCATCATATTTTCGTATGATTATTATCTGCGCCATCATCATTTTCTTCGTCATCGTCATTATCTTCTTTATTCATTCATTCATCATCTTCATTATCTGCGCCATCATTATTATTTTCGTTATTATCATTATCTACACCATCTTCATTATCTTTGCCATCATCACTAACTTCGTCACCATCATTATCCTCTTAATCATATTTTACTTATAGTAAATACGAGTAATATAATAATCATCATTATATCCATCATCGTTATTATCGTGTCAACTAATTACCGTTCCATCGCTAGACATAAATATAGGAGTATGTTAGCTTACAGTAACTCATGTATTGTTTCAACTCTTAATAATATCGCAAAATAAGTAGAAAAAGCAGACACTACACAATAATAACTAACAAAATGCAACAAATGTAGATATACCACGTGGCTGTCAGTTGTCATTGACAGAATGACAGCAATTTTTTTCATTCGCTACAATACAACAAAAGTAAGTTGATATAACATAAGCTTTTATGTCGTCTCCTTGTAGGACAACGTTAATTTGTCGGGTATCATTTTCGGTCACCGTTCATTTTATTAGTCACGATGAGTTATTCCAAGTATAGTTATACGTTCGATTGCATGGAAAAATGACTTTTGATTTATTCGAGATTAAGATCATGGAATAGACTATCGGCGGTATAGTTATTCGTGTATAAACTAAAAACTATAAACTAAAACTAAAATTTGGTCGAATCCGCTTTTAATCATCCCACAAAATAATAGGAAAGAAAAATAATGTGTACTGATATGTTATACTCTCCATCGTCATGTCAATTAAAATCCTCACTAATATTATAAATGTGTTAAATGAGTTTGTTTGTTTAGCGTTAATGCGCTATAACACAGTAACGATTTAACCAATCTCTAATTTGGTATATACGTAATATATAGGATGAAAAATGTTAATAGATTATTTTGTATCTCAATGAGTAAATATATTCCTGTTACGCAGACAAAGTCGCGGGTGGAAGCCAGTTGTATTTATAAAATCTTGTACATAAAATATTTCTAACATCGTTAAGTACTAAATGTTAGCTGCCAAATCTATCTATGGTATAATATCTATGGTATTGTTATTTTTTTTATCATAAAAATGAATTGAATTATTGTCACTGTTTGTTTTTTTTATAATTAATAATAATTAGTTGTTTTATTGTCAGTAGTCAATTTTTATATTGCTTTTTTTTTGTATTTTTATATTGTTAACAACGATTGCCTTCTACGGTGATTTAGTGTAAAACGTTTGTAGTCCTAAATTAGGATTCATGGGGCTATGTGGCCCGTCATTTTGTAATTTTATATTTAAATCTATTTATTATTAATGTAGGTATATTAAATTTTTAATTTTTGTGTTTTTTTTTAATGTTAGCAATAAAACGTTTGTATTAAAACAACATTTTGTGTTTTAATTTTTGTTTCTATTTACAAATTGATTTATACATTCTGTACGTAATAATAATGTAATAACGTAATAATAATAAAAAATTGTGACTTATAAAAAAATTTACTTCAGTTGTGACAAACCAGTTATTTTGGTCTAATAGTAAAATTACTGAACCGATTTTAATAAAATTTTTATGGAACCAATCTGTAAGTTACAAATAAAAAAGAATGTTCCAAATCGGTTTACAACTTACGGAGTTATGAGATAATAAACGTAAAAAAATACAACCAAATCGTGAACATCCTTCTTTTTGAAGTTAGTTGAAAAAGGAATGCCTATTGAAAGATTTAAAAAGAGTATATTCACAGATTTATTTCTTACCGAACTGTTTTAAATCTGTTCTAATTTTGTGAGAACAAGATCATCCCAAGAGTATATTTTTTTATAATAAAAAAATAATTTACAAAATCATTCCTCAATTGATGGTGAAATCAGTAGAATATGTTCACAAAAAATAAGAAACACCTGTATAATATAAGAGGTCTACCCTCGATTTTCCTGCGATTCCATCATTAGATCCTTATTTGATAACAATGACAAAAATAATTTCTAAAATCGGTCCACAACCGACGGAGAAATCAATGGACGTACATAAAAAAAAAACACACAATCAAACATAGAATCTCCTTTCTCTCGGAAGTCGGTTAAAGAGCAGATAAGAATCTGCTTTTAGGAGTAATTTAAGCAGTAAAGTAATATATAGGTATAGCGCCATCTATGCTTTATGGAGAACATTATAAAAAGAGAAACAAAACAGCGAGTGAAAGCCTTCAAAGGTTTTATAAAGCATTTTAAACGTACTTAAGCATTTCTTTTTGTTAAAATAGATGGCGCATTAATAATATAACAATCATAAAAAAATATTTATAACCACAAGGTATAGAATATAGACACATTTTTTTTTAATGGGTGATAATGGAATGTTAACCCCGCCCGCGCTATCGGTATACACCGGCAGGGCACCAGTGAAGGATGATAGGTGAGGATGAAGCAGGTCAGTTAGCCCATTGTGACGAATTCAACAAGAATTGTTCACGATGGTTTCCAGGGGGAACCACGTGGAGGTCGACCTGATAGTGTATTGCTAGCAATGGGTTCATTAGACCCCATTGCTAACAATCCCATCCCCCCAATATAGACACATTAGATTGAAAGTGTTTTAATTTTGAATACGTAAACATGTATCTACAAGTCGATACTGCATCGTAGTTATTTGCTCCACCAGAAAAAAATACATGTTCCAACTTAAATGTCACAAAATTAATAAGGACCTAACACAGGAATAAAACCTATTGATTTAAAAAGGTATTGTGAAAATCGGTTTCGACTTAGTACCGTAGTCGTGTAACTCAGACACAATTTGGATTTTGTTCCACAAAAAACACCAATTCAAAGTCAAGGTAAAACCGAAATTTCGATTTAAAAACTAAAATAACGAACCGATTTTGATAAAATTTCTGTGGGACCAATCTGTAAAAATGTTCTTTCAGATAAATAATGAATTTATCAAGTCAGTTTATAAATGATGAAGTCATGAAATTACAAACATAAAAAAAAACGTACAATCATATAGAGAATCTTCTCTTTTTTTGAAGTCAATTTAAAAAAGAATTTAGAATATCTTCTTTTACGAAGTAAATTTGAAAAATGAAACTGTAATAAATAAATTGTAATAATATTATAAACTTGTTTAAGTTTGCGAGGATGGATAGATCTTTATTACTCTTTGATGCAAAAACTGCTGAATGGATTTGAATGGAATTTGGTATACGAATAGCTTAAATCCTAGCTTAATACAGAGGATTTTTTTTATACAACTTAGAATGGCAAACAAGCTGACGGCCCACCTGATGGAAAGTGGTAACCGTCGCCTATAGACATGAGCAGTACCACGGACATAACAGAGCATACTGTTACACCCATGATACCCCCCATGCATTGCCATTCCTGAGGACTCAGGTGTTATTCCTCTGTATCTAGTAAATTCACGCCATATCCCACCCTTCAAACTGAAACACAGCCATGCAAACATAACTGCTTCACGGTTGAAACACGAAAGGGACAGAGGTACCCAAGCAATCGACTTTTGTACAAAGTCTCCCTCTGGTAAAGGATAGTTTATTGACTAATTAAAGTGGGTGAAGTCGAAGAATATATATATATATAGCTAGTTATCAGCATGTTACCGTCATAAGTATAAACACTCGAGCAGATTTCTGTTCTCGTTCAAATAAAAGACTTCAACGACACCAACGATTTAATATAACATAATTACAGTATAAAATAAATTTAAATTTGTTTTTATATAACTAACAAACCGCCCCAGCTTTGCACGGGTGGGCATTCTTTAGATTGATGTAACTTTTTTATTTATGAACCGATTGAATTAAAACAAACACTAAATGCCAAGCGGAGCAAATCGTAACGCACTTGTCAAATCGGTTAAACTGTTTCTTTAGCGTGCACAAACGTAGAGACAAAGAGACATACAGATAAAAAATTTAAATATCTTTATTTTGGGTTCTATTGCGTTCATAAAGCCCCCCTACAATAGTTTTCCTTTTATATTATCTTCCATGTACAAACAGCGACCAGTTTATTATATATATTGATTAGTTGACCCAGCAAACATTATTTAGCCATATAAATTAGCGATAGGGAGACCTTAATTACCTAGTGGTATGAAATATACGTCATAAACTATTCTCATATCTACCAAATATACATAAAACTTTTCATAAATATCGGTCGAGCCTGAAGTGAAATAGCAAAAATACCGAGACACGAGATTTTTACATTATCATCAAAACAGCCTTTAACTGTCCACTGCTGGACATAAGCCTCCCCCTTGGGAGTTTTGCTAGTAGTTGTCATGCTTGGCAAACGGGTTGACAACCGCAGTTACGCTTTGGTGATGTTTTAAGAGGGACGCTGCTGCCCATCCCTTGCTCTCACTTAGTCGACTCTTACGACTACCACAGGATAAGAAGGAATGGCCTATTCTATGCCGGGACCACACGGCTATTTTTATACATAAGATAATAATAATAATAATGTTTATTTATTTTATCCACAACTTTTTTTAAGTACAATGAAACACTTTTACCAAAGAGAGACTTTGTACAAAAGTCGATTGCTTGGGTACCTCTGTTTCAAATTCTCTGTATCTCTGTTCAATCCTCTGTTCGAATGGGACAGAGGTACCCAAGCAAAGGACTTTTGTACAAAGTTTCCCTCTAGTAAAAATTATAATAAAAATTAAATTAAAATATCTTCAAACTAACGTATCTATAAAACATCACGATATCCATCGATGCTTTTATGGTAATTGAAGTTGTTGTTATTTTTTTTTTTTTTTTGAAACGATATCAATAAAGGCATTCTTACTCAATAGACGCATATATTGCATCCTTTGTCTATAAAAAAAAAAAACATAAATACGCCTTACTTATAGAAAAATAGAACTCAATCCGTAGAAATAAAGTTCATTTCCATTTCGAATGGCGTCGCAAATAAATTTTAAAAGCACTGGGTACGCCGTTAAAGTTTTGTTTTACTTTTCGCAAAAGAATACATATTGAAATATATTACATATAAAAGCAACCTTATTTCTTATAAAATGATGTCCAAAATAGTGTTTAAATTCCTGAATGTTATGCGCGATCGTAACAAACGTATAAAGTCGGTTCGTTACAATTATCAGACCTTATTACCAAATCGTAAAGTTGAAAATAGAACTGACATTCTTATGTATAAATAAGTTACATATTAAATTGAGCTTAGCAACAATTTTATCCTTCTCCTTTTGGAAGTCACTTGAAACTTAATTATTGAATTTTTATTGCTTATGTTACTCAACTTATTTTATTTTAAAATAGAATTTTTAATAAATCTTAACCAAAATATTATAAAGCAAAATTTTTTTAATGAGCGATAATGGAATGGTAACCTAGCCTGAGCTAATGCTCAGCCACAGATAGCTCAGCTAAGCTGAATTACCCTGGCAGGGAACCAGTAAAGGGTGACCGATGAGAATGAAAACTGGCTAGTTAGTTAGTCCATCATGATGAATGTATCAGGAATTAACCATGATAGTTTCCAGACGGAACCGCAACGAGATCGATTTTGCTGGGTATATTGTTAGCAATGGGATTCTTAGTCTCCATTACTAATACTCCCTTTTGCCCCCTGAAAAGGCAGATCAGTTAGCCCATCGTGATAAATATGTCTGGAATTCAGCACGGTGGTTTCCAGGAGGGATCATGTGGAGATAGACCTGATAAGGTATATTGCTAGCAATAAGACTGGTAATCTGCATTACTAACAATCTCCCCCCTCCCCCAGTATGAAACCATTAGGAATTCATCATTATGGAACCTATATCCTAGGTAACTAAAAAAATTATTAGAATCAATCTCTAATTGGCAAGGATATCGCCTAAAAATTTACCTTTTTTAAAGTCGGTTAAAATTTTTCAATGGTTAAAAGTGACCTTTCGCTTCTTATTCTACCAATAACTATCGATTTAGCTTATTATTCTAACTCATCGACATTCCCGTTATGGTGCAACAAGTTTTAAATAATCCTTTTCTGACATCATCTTGTCTCTCGCTGTTAAGTTTATTTTAGCTCGAAATATAGATACGACCTTTCTGAGAGCAACGTGCGCACGCGCAACCAGTCAGTACCCCGTCCGAGCACCGAACGCGCGGCCGCCATGCGAGAAAAAACGAATAAAAACGAAAACGATATTCCAAATTCAAATTAAACACTAACGTTCCAAAACTTGTAAATATTTGTCCTGCGCCGCGTGACTGATTGAGTTTTTTTTTTTATAAATAATAATTTAAAATTTGATTTTCGAAAAGCATATGGCCAGTCCAAGGATGTGAACTTTTTTTAATTTATTTGTACAAAGGAATGTGGTTTTAATGTGTATGCACCGAAGTACTAGTGTTGTGTGGTTTGTTTGTTATATTTAATGTCCGCGGAGGTGTCAACCTTTGCGAACTGTCATTATTGGATTTAAAAATAAGGAACTTAATTAAGGTAAGAGAAATAATATGCGTACTTTAAAAAAATCGTTATTATTATTATTAAAATAATTAAATTACATATTATTGGTTTCATCTATTCGAATTTATTTATTATCTGTTAAATCAATTGATTTAGCAGACAATAAATAAATAGTTAAATCATTCAATTTTCCTTTTTGGATCTAATACAGATATTACTTGTAGAAGATTGTAGCTATTAGATCATATATAATAAGAGGCACAGTATAATATATAGGTATTTGTTTAATATATTTAATAAATAACAGTTTTATTTATTATATTTATTTATCAAATTATTTATTTGTACACAAAATGTATTTTATTAAGACTTGATTTTGAGTGAAATTATTTAAAAAAAGTTATTGGTCTAAATGAACAAAAAATTTGTTCTAGATCATTTTATATTATATATCACTATATTTAATCACGTAATCACATGTAAGTCATTTTTAAAATTATGCATTGCCCAAAAATAGATTAATCTAAACTTGTATTTTTAACTTCAAAAAAAGGAGCCGGTCCTCAACTCGTTGGTTTTTTGTTTATGTTTGTTACTGTCATTAATAAAGCGATTTAGAATTTTTTTATCGTTTATGAAATGATATACTTTCAGGTTGGTCACATAGAAATTTTATCAAAATTGGTTCAGCAGTTTAGTTTTTAAATCAAAATAACTGATTTGACCAGCATTTTTTGTGGAACAAAATCTAAATCTAATGTAATTTATATAATATGTTATAATATAATGCTATTGTAATTATAGTTTTGTTAGAAAACATAAAAAATACATTTGATTATCTTAAAGATACAATAAAATTACAAATTGCAGCAGACTTCACAAAGAACTAAGAGTATGATACTTCGAGCCGGATTAGTTAAGATATCGCGTTGCTATAAAATGAAAGGAAGTAAACAGTTATAGAACAAGCATTATTCTATTGTTAACTAATACATTTAATGACTTGAATGAACTCCATTGTTAAGTTTAAATAAAAAATAACTTAATTGTATTAAGGTACCTATGAAAATATTTGTTTCTATTTTATAAAAAGATTTTTTTATTTTTATTACCTACCTTCATAAAAATTATATAATTTTATCAGGTATATTAGATTTTTATAATAAGAGATAGATAGATCTCTATATAGAGAATATAAATTTTAAGAAAATATATATTTCATAATAAAAGGAAGTATAAATTAATAATATAATTAATTTACTAAGACATATTTTGCTCCGCAAATAAAAAACAAAAAAAAATGGTGACTTCAAACATTACAAAATTAATATGAGACAAAAACAGGAATAAAACTTATTAATCATAAAAAGCAATTATCAAAATTTGGTTCAAAATTGGTTAAAATATTAAGCAAAATTGACACAAATAATTTAAGATTGTGTTTTATAAAAAAAAAAAAACTACTTCATATATGACAATTTCTAATAATTTTGATTTTAAAACTTTTTGACAAAATTTATATGATTTAACAAGCTGTAAGCATGTCCTTTCAGAATAAGAAAGAATTTTTGAAATCGATTGGCAACTGATGGCGTTATGAATTGGGAAACTACTACATACTAAAGATACTGAAGAGAAGTAAATAAAAGAAGCAATTCCTCTACTTTTTTTTTATACAACTTAGAATGGCAAGCAAGCTGACGGTCCACCTGATGGAAAGTGGTAACCGTCGCCTACAGACATGAGCAGTACCATGGACATAACAGAGTATACTGTTTCGTCCATGATATCCCCCATGCGTTGCCATTCCTGAGGACTCAGATGTTATTCCTTTGTACCCTGTAAATTCACGCCATATCCCAACCTTCAAACCGAAACACAACTATGCAAACACAACTGCTTCACGGTTGAAACACGAATGGGACAGAGGTACCCATGCAATCGACTTTTATACAAAGTCTCCCTCTGTTTTTTTAAGAAGAATCGTAAGAAGCAAATAGCAATACCGATAATTTGATCATAGTAAGGTGTTCGTTCCCAAATGATTGTCTGGCAAGTAATCAGTCGAGCGTGTGTACAATTCCTACGGCCTCCTCGAGTCGGTCGACCGTGTACGCCCTGCCTGAGAAGTCAAGGTTCCATGACACCCACATGACGTCACTGCGACCAAGAACCGGAACCGAGGACAAAATAAATATATATCCTTGAATTTTTTTTAATTATAAGACATAATTATTGTCTTTAAACTTTTAGAATATGTTCGACATGTATACATTTTGTTTCGTCAAAAAGCGATTTTAATAGTAAATAACACAAAAATATACACACACATCGCTGTGTGGTCTCCGCATAGAACGGCCACCACTGTCTTGTAAAAGGCAACTAATACAACTTAATGGTTGAAAGATGAAAGCAGCGTCCTTCTTAAAATATCACCAAAGCCTAACTGTAGTTACCAACCCGCCCGCCAAACGTGGCAGCTACTGGCAAAACCCCCATTTTTGGGAAGGCCTATGTTCAGCAGTGGACAGTACTAACTACAATTGAAGTCTTTTTTTTTGTATGATAAAATGAGGTTCCCTGCCGAGGTTTTCCCAAGAGCCTACAGCATGTGGTTCTTCAAAAGGTGGTAAAGAGATTTCTTCAGGGTCGGCAACGCACGCGTAATACCTTTAGTGTTGCAGGTGTTCATAGGCTACGTAACCACTTACCATCAGGTAGGCCGTATGCTTGTTTGCCTACTCAGTCGTAAAAAAAAATCTTAATTAATATCCAATAAAGTGATCGACTATGTAAAATGGCCCTAAAACATGATGTCACAAATCAGTCGATAGCGTTTACTCAAGGTTGCTTGTCGCCCACAGTACACCCACAGCGTGACGTCACCACAGTAGGGTATTAACAGCCGGAACCTTTCATATGAGTCGTGCAAAACAACATACCATGTAGGTAGCTAGTCATCAGTGACAAAAGGATTTTAATTGATAAGCTAAATCGTATGTAATTAATTCTCAAGTACATAAAAACAGCGAGTTAACTGTGACAAAACTCAGCGATGAATGACGAGATGTTTCGTAGGTATATTGCATTGAAGATATTTGAATTTAGAATGTTGCATTGAAGATATTTGAATTTAGAATGTTACATTCAAGATATTTGAATTTAGAATATTACGTAAAAAATTTTCGGTATAAAATTGCTTGGATACCTCTGTCCTATTCGTGTTTCAACCGTGAAGCAGTTGTGTTTGCATGGCTGCGTTTTGATTTGAAGGGTGGGATATGGCAGTTTACTAGGCCTTACTATGAAGTACTTTAGTCCTCAGGAATGGCAACGCATGGGGGGTATCATGGGCGAAATAGTATACTCTGTTATGACCACGGTACTGCTCATGTCTATAAGCGACGGTACGGATGAGCGATATTACCACTTTTCATCAAGTAGACCGTCAGCTTGTATACCATTCTAAGTTGCATAAAAAAGATATTTGAATTTAGAATATTACATTAAAATATTTGAATTTAGAATGCGGAATTTTGTGTCTACAATTAGTTACATTCCGCTTCGCAGCAAACAGACTTTGATTCCGCAAAGCACAACAATTAATTTAATCATCACATGAAACTAATGTGGCCAACAAAAGATACAAGTGATACAAGAATCTTCTGATAAATGTTCATAGTAATTTTTAGAATTCCGTACCTCGAAAGAAAAAACGGAATCCTGATATCATCACTTTGTTTTACGCCTGTCTGTCCGTCTGACGAGAGCTTTTTTCTTACGAACACGTAGAAGTATCAAACTGCAATTTATATCAAATACTCAAATTAATAATCCCTTTAAGTTGTAGAAAAATCAAACTTCTAACTCAACACAATCGAAAGATATGGTTATTTTAAGTGCCTAATTTGAGATTTGCAACAGAATCAAAGTCTGTAAGGTACTTCTCATTGAACTCAAACCATGAAATTTGGCAAGAAGCAATGTCGTACAACAAAAGTAAAGGGGGGGAAGTCTAAAAATTTTTAACTACAAAACAAAAAATAATAATCCTCAATTTCTTTAATATTATTTGTACAGAACCCTCGGTATGCAAGTCCCAGTTGCACTTGGCCGGTTGTTTATTTGATTACATGTTACGTGATTACGTTACCAATTATAAATCGATTTAAAAAGTTCTTTTTCAAATCAATTGCATTTATTCCCACGTTAAACCATATTAAATTTTAACCGACTCCAAAAAGGAGGGTAGGGAGGGAGGGTTTTATGTTTGTTACCTCATAACTTTGTCATTATTAAACCGATTTAGATTTTTTTTTATATCTGAAAGAATACACTTATAGATTGATACCGTAGTAATTTCCTCAAAATCGGTTCAGTTATTTAGCTTTTCGATCAAAATAACTGGCCACAAATGAAGACTTTGTACAAAAGTCGATTGCTTTGGTACCTCTGTCCTATTCATGTTTCAACCGTAAAGCAGTTGTGTTTGCATGGCTGTGTTTCGGTTTGAAGGATGGGATATGGCGTGAATTTACGGAGGAATAACATCTGAGGCCTCAGGAATGGCAACGCATGGGGGATATCATGGGCGAAACAGTATATTGTGTTATGTCCATGGTACTGCTCATGTCTATAGGCGACGGTTACCACTTTCCATCAGGTGGGCCGTCAGCTTGTTTGCCATTCTAAGTTGTATAAAAAAAAAAAAAAAAAAAAAAAAAAAAGGTTACAATTATATATATTATTTTCGGTTTGAAGGGTGGGATATGGCGTGAACTTAGAGAACTTTATATATATATATATATATATATATATATATATATTACGATCAATAACTAACTTTTTTTTTATTTTGTAAAGCAAAACATATTTGAATAATATGAAAACAATACAAATTCACCATACAAAGGCATACCATGTGGCAATATAATTCCCAGGAACCAATAACTATTACGAATTACAGTGAGATCGAAGGCAGTGATCGACCGTACCGTTTTGTAATGACGACGCGTGGTTATTTCACAATCATT